CAGTGTGGTCCACAGCCTTCTGGACGAGCGCCATCGAGAGATTCTGCGACGCGAGCGTGATTCGGTCCCCGAGTTCAGCGAGGTCGTTGATTTCTCCGCCGCTGTAGACCACCCTGTTGAGCTCCGCTCGAACCCAGCAATAGATTACGTTCAGGTCAGGTGATACACTTGAACATTCCGTCTTCTTCAGGTACTCAACGCCCTTCCATTCCAAGTAGGCGAGAGTTTTCCAACGCCCTTCGATTCCATGTGGTGGCACCCAATCCTGTAGCAGTACAAAGTTTCCAAGATGGTACGAGAGACGACATGAATGGAGGATATCTCGAGTAGCTAGATGTAACCGCCAGCGCTCACCTTCAGTCCGGGTCCACAAAGAAAATATCGGTCTTCCCATTCCAGGTACCCCGGTCCATACCATCAACTCGCGCCTTGGCGACTGCGGTGAAGATGATATCCTAGACCGTAGCCCGTAGCGACGTTGTCGAAGCTGCTCGATGTTGGAGGTCTTCCAGATCAAGAGTGCTGGTCTCCAGGTAGCTGTCCATGGGTGACTCCATACAAGAAGTTTCGCAGCTGTTTGGAGGTGACGTGAATTCCATAGGCCTTCTCCAGTCAGGCTGCGATTGGAGATGACTTCATATTTTGGTGTACATGAAGGTGATGGGCGAGAGCCTGCTCCTGCTTATCGAGGAACATCTTGGGTATCTTCCGCCCTGGTACTCGTATCCACGTCTTCTGTCTGGGCTGCGAAAACTTTGCTGATATGTGACTCGGTCGAAGTGTCTTCCCCCCCCCCCCCCTGTGGAGCTGGCCGACGGCTGGCGAGCGACATTCGTCGCCTTTCCGATTGGTCATTGTAGCAGACTATGAACAAATTAAGTGATCTGGGAGTGGGAATCGATAGTAGCACAAGTTGCTCTAATGATTCCACGTGTTAAGTGACGGCTTATCAATATCCATCACTCAGAATGATGCTTCTGATGGTTCACATGTTTGGGTGGTTCACTCCGCATGCCTGTGCACAATCTTTCAGGAAATTTGCGAACTGAATTTATAGAGTGATGCAACTACGTATAGCTTTAGTTTGTTTTTTCTGACATATTTCACATTTTTTATTTTATGATTACATCTTTGTTTCAATAATAGATATATTTTAAGTAAGGGAAATTGTACATAGAGTAATTATTGTTACTCACTTTGCCATTAGCGGAATCGTGCTGGATGTAGGAGGAAGGATCTTTGATACAAGTAAAAGGAATACCACGATCGAGAGCATTATGGAAATTGTAAGCGTCATCTTCTCACCTGAAACCTGTAATTTGATTGTTCAGTTAGACGCGGCTAAATTCCACAAGGATGCAATGTCATGTGGAAAACGATCAGACTCTGACAAGAAACGGACCCTTACGTGGAGTCGTAAGCGCTTCCTTTGGTTGATTTAGTATACAGGGTACAGCATCGTTGTGTGAAACACCGGGGGGATATCACACGACCGGCTTTCGATTATTCTTGGCATAGTAATAATTCAGTATGATTCCTTAGCCTCCCGAGATTTGTACAGATGGTTTATTGTGCTAACGTTTCGGCGAACATCGCCTTCTTCGGAGCCTTTTGACGGATAGGAGTTCTACCGGGCACCTCATAGGGGGGGGGTCGTAATTCTCCGCTGGGAGGGGCAGGGGGTCGTATTTGGTCATTGAGAGAGGGGATAGGTCGTATGTGCGTTTAATAGAAATTTGCCACGTTGCAAAAAAATTTTTTCCCGATTGTTGACTTTTCACGTGTTTCATTTTTTTCTTTGCCTGTTTTATGTGTACTATATACCCCTTCCCCCTCCCGCATGACAGCAGAAGTTTTGGAAACATAGGAAACTCCGTAAATTCTGAAAAAAATGGTAGGATCCACTCTAAATTTTCGGGTGACGAACTGGAAAATGTGGGGAAACTGGTAGGCAGGTGTTGAGGAAGGGGGAAGGGGTCGTACCGATATCCTCATTCAGGTGAGGGGGGCTGACACCCACTCTCGGATCTCGCGGGAGTGGGTCGCACCTACACTACCATTTCACACATCACGATGCTGTAACCCAGCACATCTGGAGGTCTACTGAGGGATGGAACTTCGATCAAAATCAGGAGTGCGTTAAGGTCTCCTTAGGTGTTCGATGTAGCTGGCCGAAGGAAAAGTAAACTGAAATTTTTTCAGTGGTACCTGAGTCAGTAGGTAGAAAGAAGACAGCGATATTCAGGAAGCCCATCAGCAGGGTTGGAATGATCAGAATAATTGTGTAGAAAAGCGTTTTCCGTCTAAATATTCTGTGGTTCGTCTCAGCCTCAGCAAAGAAACTGAACCATCAATTCTGACCTGATTCTTACTTGAAATTCAATTCGACTTCGTTTATTCACCAGTTGTGCTGGAGCGTCAATCACATCCCAAATAGAAGACGGCGCATATTCGGAAAGATCTGCTAATTCGGCTTGTTCAAACTCGAGCTTGATCTCGTTCTCATTGTTTACTAAAAACTCGCATTCAATTCTATTCATGGGCAATTCGTTGACCGAGGGAAATGCTCACCGTCCAGGATCCGAACACCAGTGTGCACACCTGTTCGTCGAATGGGAAGAATTCGACGTCTGAAACACAGAATTTTTGTGCAATGAACTAAACTGGTAGTCGTACTACAGGTATGAGCGGGAGTTGGCTTACAACTTGAAACTCGTCCCTGACCCGGCCCGCGCATGCCAGAAATGTCCTTTAGAGCTTTTCTTCCAAACAATTTTCTTACCTATGATACATGAGCTCTTGTAAATCGCTGGTGGTACCCACAACATATCGCCTTGGTAATTTATAACGACATTGCACATGAATGACACACCTCGTAATTACCATCAGCGCTAAATAAGTCGAAAAAGATGCGAGAGTTTCTGTTGGGCTTCTAAGAACTATCAGCTACAGTAGCTCAGAGAATTAGTGTGAAAGGAAGTACTGGAATGATATCATCAAAAACTAGAGCGTCGCTGAAAGGCCCAGAAATACGCTATAAAGTTTCCAGAAATTTACCATTCATTAGGTAGCGCTTTGCCTATTGAAGGGTGGCATGCACCTATACATGACAGCGGTGATTTCTGCGCATGCCGGTCCCGTTTCGAAACCATGTAGCATCTACAGCTAGAGGGCAGTATCTACCAAGGCATCCAAAGGTTCAAAAAACATTCGGAGAGATGCCTTTCTCAAGGTGAAAGGACTTGAGGTGGATTAACCACGTAAATGCGTGAAAAGCTGGATGTACACTCCTCATCATTACGGACTGTCGGGGCGTATCGGCCAGAAGGAGTGCGCACACTGTTTGAAGCCGTTCTCAGCCTTTTCTTGAAGCGCGTATGCGACAAAAAGTGGTAGAAAACGAGTAATACGAAGGATATAATGCTGTTATGTCATTTGATCGCTTCAACAACTGGTGCAGAAAGACTTTGGAACCGCGGAAAACGCACTGACCCGCCCCGACAGTCCGTAATGATGAGGAGTGTACAGTCGTCATCCGGGTAGTTTATGGTTGAGGTGTCGCAGACGCGGCTGCAGCAGCGACCGCGTAAGTAGTACAGTCGTCATCCGGGCACTTGATTAGGCGGCCAAGGGTCGCGACGCGGCTGCGGCGTCACGAGCGCGGCGATCAGCTGTTTCCAGCCTATTTTAGCCATTTTCTCCCTAATTTACACTGTTTGGCTGCTTTTTTTTAAAGATTAGTTCCTTGTATTCACAAGGTGATTGCGTACAGTTGAACACTTAAGCAGGCAATTGAACAAATACCTTAAAAAAATCGCAAAACAGAACCATTGCAAAAACATCCATTGTATCTATTGCAAAAACAAAAAAAGACTGCACTTCCTAATTTACTTCATAAAGACAATAAAACAACTAACCTCAAAAAAATAGAAAATGCAGTGGAAATTAGGGAGAAAATGGCTAAATTAGGCGGAAACAGCTGATCGCCGCGGTCGTGACGCGCCGCAGCCGCGTCGCGACCCTTGGCCGCCTAATCAAGTGCCCGGATGACGACTGTAACTATCGACAGCGATCAGCTGTTTCGGCATCGTTATAATTTTCTCCCTATCTCTCACTGTTTTTGGCTGTTTATTCAAGGTTAGTTGTTTTTTATCTTCACAAGGTAAATTGTGATTTCTCTAATTTTTGCGTTAAAGTGTTGTTTGACTTTGAGGCGTTGTTTGAATTGTTCAATACTATCTAGGTAATTGTTGATCTTTTCTTTCCTTTTCGAATGGCTTTTTAATCGTTTCATGTATCGCTAATGAGTTTCCTCACTTTATCACAAAAACAAGAAAGAATCCACTTCCTAATATACCTTGGTGAAGACAAAAAACAGAACAGAAAATGCAGCGAAAATTAGGGAGAAGATGGGTTAACCAGGCTGGAATCGCCGCCAACAGTTCCTACGTGACGCGGTCACTGCTGCAGCCGCGTCTGCATTCCTTCGAGCGCCTAATCAACTGCCCAGAAGACGACTGTAAGGTAACAGCGGTCACAGAACGCCATGCAGACGGAAGACTTTAGAGGAAAACAGGAAAATGACACGACAGTTGTTCTAGGAGTACCGATATTGGCCCCAGCAAGTCCCAAAGGGTTGGAAAGTTCCGCTCACTGCTCAACCCTTTGAGGTATAGCTATACTTGTAAGACCTTGGTCAAACCCACGAGGACCTTCGACTGAGGAGTTACCTGACTTTTTAGGTAAACTGAAGCACAGAATCAGTGCTACCTATTACAGTAGCCATATTCTGTTGGTGCAATACGTACACGTTCCAGGCTTCTAATTGTAAGGTGGCAAAAGGCAAGGGTTTCCGTGGAAGGC